ATACATACAACGTACTAAAATGCGAAAGTTACACACCACAAAATTGATAAATAGGCCTGAAATGAAATTCTATCTTGTTATTGATCATACGTTGCCTAGCACGTGACCTAAATCTACCCAGGCGGAGATCCAAAATGACGGTGGCAGGCTTGGCTTAGTTATATCACTCAAAACTCGTTCCCGTTTGTCTCATTTGATAAAGAGGGAATCGTTAATGTTTTCATTAAGACAGTATTGCCTTGATTTTCTAATATTTACAACGAAAGACAGTAAATTTCACTTTTCACCCACATTTACTTCCAACCTTTTCTTTTGAACCAGAAACAAAAATGGTAGACGTTTAAAACACATGACATCATCCACCTTGTCAAATGTAATAGCATGATCATTTCAATTGTAATGCCTTCTTATCCCAACGTTACTTTGTTTCTTTGCTACATTAGCGAACACTGAACTACTGCTCGTACTCTAGATATGACAATCAACCACAAAATTCCCTAAACCAGATAACATTAAACATAATCTAAAAAAATCATGTGTCAATTCACGAGTTTGCTCACAGAGCACTTTGATTTGATGCCATTTTCAAGAGATCACATGACTAACTGTGGTAAAATACATCCATCAAAGAAGATGCGTCAAGCCTCTTCAAATTGGCTAAAGGTGTCTCAAAGGGTGAACTCATCGCATTGTGCAAGGTGTTATTTCCCAGGTTTTGTTCTTGGCTCAAGAAAAATCCACATACCGGACTCATCCTTACCCCTTCCTCTTTCCCATTCGTCGCCCGATTGTATGCACAATATTGTTAACATTTGCTTCGGGAAATGTGAGGGGGCTGAGCATCTCGGATTAGTGCGAAATCTGTGTTTAATGGGTTCGTTTCTGCGAATAGAGGGATTGGCCGATCTTAACATATCTGACACACAACGGGCGCTCTGATTAGTTCAAAATCTATCGTCTATTGTGCCGTTAAACTATATAGAACTGAAGCATGAAAACGGACCTTCACTCAGAAGTTTGTTGAAAATCTTGTTTACATTGAAACGAAAACCAAAGTATAAAGTATAAAAACAAAGTATAAATGTCCACTCGAAACTTTACGGCAATTCTGTTTCCTGTCATCAGCTTTCATTTCATTATTCGTACGTTTTGGAAGGCATTTTTTAGCACTTTTTGTAAATCATAACGAGAATTCCCTAAAAGCTTTAATTTAAGTAGAGGCAATCCAAAAAATATTGATTAAACAGAAATAGTATACCACGAGCAAAAGATTAGCTAGTGTCTGATGTATATGGCTCGATATTGCCGTCTTTGATTTTGCTGCAATCTTCGTAGTGCGATTTTATAAAAGAAATTAAAACTAAGTTCTCTAAATGGTAATAAGTTTCTTCAGCATAATTTCTTCAACGGATCTTTATTTCGCTGAAAAAGCTCCTGAAATATTAGAACCATTTCCTAGGCTTGCAACCTTCAGAATCTTTTCGTACAGATTATCACATCGCTATCGCAGTGGTCGGCCTATTTGGCGTTTTGTCCATCCAAATTGATGTATTCTTTAATAAACATAGTTTGTGCCTTCTAAATAGTTATAAGTTTTTTCAGCATAATTTCTTCAACTGACCTTTATTTCGTTGAAAAGCTCTTGAAATATTAGAACTGTTTCATAGGCTTGCAACCTTATCACATCACTATCAAAGGAGTAGACCAAATTTGGCGTTTTATCCGTCCAAATTAGATTATTTTTCAGTACGACGTAGTTTGCGCCTTGATCTGGAGGTGTTTTACTGTTCACTTAAAAACATTTATCATTAAAACAAAACAAGTAAAAAACTTATTCCAACGAAATATGCCTTCAGCTAGCATTAAATTTGAAAGGGGCGTTTTACTGTGCACTTGAACGGCAATCGTCAAAGAAGTGAGTAGTTTAAGACTGTATGTGGTTACTGATATATCACAATTTTTATGGTACTGAAAAGAAGTGAATATTGTATAATGATGCCGAAAGGTTGTGTTGTAGAAGATTTGTCTCACATACAGTGCAGAAAACTTACCGCATCTCACATTTATGAATATCCTGTTACACAAGAGAGAGATGATTTAAGAATATAGCGACTAACTGATACTTAACCAATGATAACTTGGTGACAAATAATCATACCATCATATCAATAATAATAATGATAACAATAGTGAAGGTACTAATATTTTTTAGGGGCTGGTTGAAGAACCACACCGTTCCTCTATCGGTCTCTCCTATAGGTCCAATAATGATTACACTATGCTTCTTTTCATTTCGCTTGTAAATTATAACTTTTTTTCTAATTCCATTGCAATTCCATTTTTGTGAGACTTTCTTTTCACACAACAAGGCATTTTGCGTTGTGGGATATTCCGCCATTCCGCCATTCCTCCAATTCGCCATTCCACCAATCTATCATTCTACGGTTCTATTATTCCTTTGAATAGGGTCACTCTGTTAAACACAAGGTATGGTATTTCAGACCGTGCTTGCTTCGCGAATTTAGCGGTTCATTGGCGCATTAGTCACTGATTAAAATGGTAAAATGCTCTCTCTTCGAATAAATCAATATTTTTTCTCGAAAGTTTCCACGATGTGCAGATCAAAGCTATTCTGCAAGCAAAAGCCTTGTTTTTAATAGTGAGGCCACTACAAAATTATTTTGAGATGTTTATCACCTTTTGTAGTGTAACGGCAAGAACAAAAAAAAAAGTATCTTCCGATCTACTGGGCATCATTCGCTGATTCACACGGTAAAATACTCCCCCTTCAAAGAAAAAAGGTTTTCCTCTAGGTTTTCATGATGCGCCGATCAAACCTTATGAGGTATTTCTTTTAAAAAAAGGCTCTGTTTTTTTATGCGCAATCCGAAAATTATTGTGAGATGTTTATAGTCATCTATAGAACTCCGGAACAAATAACATGTAGCACAGTGAGCATCGGGTAAAAATTGTGTCAAGATTAGAATTCTATTGTTACCATCACTCACTCACTCATTTTGACGACATATGCGGCCTCGCCGCCTATAGGAGACAGTAGCCACAAAAACAAGTGAAAATTTATTCCTACCATCTTTACAACACCTTCTTTTCCCGGAGGATGACTAGGAGCTCTGCCAAAAATTATTGAAAACCTCGTTATCATTTATCATCATTTCATGCTGCTGCATATCAAAGAACATCACACAATAACTGTCAAAAATAATAACAATAATGAAAGAAAAAGTAGTAAATTACTTGTTATGATATGTCATTACTTTAGAAGTATATAAGGACTGTTACACTTTTAGGTAATGATTTCTATCCATCATATCTTTCCATACCAGGTCATCACATGTTCCCGGCATTCCTTTCTGTCCCTTTTGTCCTTGTGATCCTTTCTGTCCAACAGATCCTTTCTCGCCCTCGATGAAAAAGCAAGCTAATAAAAAAGGTTGTATGGGATGGACTTAAAGGAGAGAACTTGTTTCGCCATTCGTCAATAAACAACTTTGAGAAGTTAATGTTTTTCAAGTTTATCTTTTAAGCTGCGTTGAACGAAAGAATATACACCTCATGAAAACTTACTTGAGAAAGAAGCCGTGGGCCCCCGAATAATGACCAATCCCTACCAGGTTCTATCAGGGGTTCCTAGTCCTACTGTTATCGTAGTTTTTCTTTTTTTCTTTTTTTTTAAGGTCCTAGTTTAACTGAATAATTGAGACTCAGAAACTTTGGAACTAGAACTACCATTCTCTCCCTTTTGTCCTGGTTCACCCCTCTCCCCCTAAAGAAATCAAAATTTAACGTATTAGCAACGTACTTCATTGCATTCATTGACAGTCAGGTAAATCTCCAATACGGGAAAATTAAGAAGCAAGAGAACTCTTACAGTTCGGAATGATGAATTGTTCTCCCTTGCCAAAACCTAATTCTATAAATGAATCTTCTTGGCTGGGATACCTACAGTAATCACGATTTAAATATTCCAAATAAATAATTGGTAACAGTTGACGTGTCAATTAGATCAAAGCCAAAGAAAAATTAGCCAGCCAATCACTTAACTTTTTGCATTTGACAGTATAAAGATTATCATATTTTTAAATTAAATATGCTGAATATAAATTTTACCAGCCTTGATGCTAGCATTTACATTCACACCAGGCATGCCTGGTTCACCTTTCTCTTCCTGAATAATTTAAAATGAATCGAAATAATCTCTCGACAACAGTAATCTCATGACAACAGTTTGATTAATGTACTTGTGAATACACGACTAACAAGGAGAGTTACGTCATATACAATTCAACACATTTGTATTCTTCAAATTCATTTCAAAGTCATTTTTTTAACAATGGTTACATTTTCGTTTTAAAAATACATAACTTTTGCTCCAACTTTCCCATCTCGTCCTATGTTGAAATATTGGTGATCAGTACAAAATGTGAAAACACAGATAAACAAAAACAGCAACAAAAGTCACTTCTTAAAAAATTATATCTTCTACGTAATACTTCTTTTGTTTTAACTTTGTAAAAGGATTCACGTGTTACACCTTCGTTTCCCAACAAATGTATTATTCACGGTAATTTTCAGTCATTTAAACTCGTTGTGATATTAACTTGACACAAGTTTTTTTTCCTCGTTAAATTCCAACAAAGGACTAGTCAGTGAGTCAGCCCGAGGATTTTGATTGTGTCACGATAAAATTTACCTGATGCTCCTCGAAGGCTCTTTGATATTCTTACGACTCCCTACCCCACCGTCCACTGGCAGCTGGTTGGCAATCATTTTGCTATGGTCCGCCCTTGACATTCTGTTGGCGACGACTGATCCCCCATCTATACCCCCTTAAAACCATGTCATCCCCCCCAAAGTCCTCCACCATCTCCCACCAGAAAATTAATCATAACTAGTCCCTACCACTTTGTTTGTGAAGGAATTCATGCTTAAAATATTTCCAATCTAAATAAAAAAAATTCACTTAAATAAATAACTACATCACCGTTTATTCCATCGCGTCCATCTTTTCCTGGCGTAAAAAGCAAATCAATTTTCTTATGTTAGGTAGGTAGATAAACAGTTTATTTTTTATCGTGAAAAGTCATTTGTTTTTAAGTCAATAACTTGATAAATGAACCATAAAGTAACTTTTGCACACTCACCGTTTTGTCCATCTTTTCCGTCTTTTCCTGTGCAGAAATTAACAGAAACAAGTACATCAGCGAAGAAACTCGAATTTTTTTCTTTCTCGCCCATATGAGCAGATGTAAATAAATATATGCGCGTTTCGAGTACTGAAGTATTTTATTATTATTCTAAATTAAAATTGTAAATGAACTGAAAAAGGTGGGATTATTGTTCGAAGTTTCACTCACCATCTTTACAGTAACCAGCTTGTGAAGCACAGCAATTTGATTTCGTCGTTGTTCTATGACTCTGTTGAAAAACGAACAGTGTGCCCATGAGTTATGAAATGAAGGGGTTGTTGGGAAGTTACACGCTTGAGCAAAACACAAAAATTCTCACTTTCACTCGAATTCCGATTTGACGACAATTACTTTAAGCCTAGTTATCAATTTGGTTACCTGATTAGCAGATTTCTTTTGTGAACTCGCGAAGGAACTCAACAAAAAGGCAAGAGCCAACACAAAGAATAAGCGAAACATTTTCACTCTCAGAGCCCTCCGATATGAAATGGCAGACGAATCAGTCAGCATAAAGGGAACAACTTTCCGTCTCTGTTTCCGTCTCTCCATCTTTTCCGTCTTTTCCTGTCCAGAAATTAACAGAAACCAGACATCGGTGAAGAAACTCGAATTTCTTTCTTTCTCGCCCATAGGCAGAGCATATGCAAATAACTACACGCTCGTAACAAGTATTGACGTATTTTTATTATTTACCCACCATCTTTACAGTATCCAGCTTGTGAAGCACTGCAGTTTGATCTTGCCGCTGTTCCACGACTCTGTTTTTTTTAGTTAAATAAAAAAATTTAAATAAAAACGAAAAGCGTACCCATAAGTTATAAAAAGGGGTCACTTGGGAAATTACACGCTCGAGCAAAACTCAAAAATTCTCACTTGCACACTAATTCCGATTCGACTACAATTAGGTTAAACCTTGTTATCAATTTGGTTACCTGATTAGCAGATTTGTTCTTTGATTTTGCGAAGGAACTCAACAAAAAGGCAAGAGCCAACACAAAGAATAAGCGAAACATTTTCACTCTTAGCGCCCTCCGATATGAAATGGCAGACGAATCAGTCAAAATACAGGGAACAACTTTCAAACTCTGTTTATTTTGCCCCACAACAGGAAAATTCAGGATGTTCAAGGGCTTGTGTTATGAAAAGTGTTTACAATGCACAATGAGAATTTGTAGTTTATGGATTATGATATGCTAACTGACCAACTACGATGAACTTCTTATGTCTCCTTAAAACATCGTTATCTTGCACAGTGATCTGTTAAGGAGAATTTAGACCCTTATCAGTGAAGACGTGTTGTTTGGTCTTTAAGTAAATTCTCACAAAGAAATGCAGTAAAAAAAAAAACATTTTGATCTGGGGAAGGAAAGGTGTCCATAGTAAGAATTCAGCTCGCTTTACAACATTTTAAGGAATTTTTCAAAAATTTAATGGATGATATGAGCCTTTAAATACAGGTTTTCCTGACAGAATGATTGGTTACTCGTTTTCCTTCAAGCTGAAGGTCAACATCCCTTGCAGCTGGATAGAGATTTGTAGATAATAGGTGCGAATAATAGGTTAGACTATTTTAAGTAGTTCAAGTTATTATTTATAACAAAGATTTTAATTTACATCGATTTTTGAAACACATTAACTTACGGCAAAAATACTTTACTTCAGACCCGCACTATAGAACAGGCTACACAACTAGCAAGGCAAATAATTATTTAACTTTCAGTCCTGTCAAAACACCATAAGAAAACTAGATATCAGTAGTATTTTAAATCGTAATAGTAGGTGTTGCTACCTCTATAAATAGTGATATTATATTTTGGATTCAGATCATAGATTGTACATTTTAGATTGTAAATGTGAGATTAGACTGTGTAGTTGGTGTAAGGCTCTTTATTAATTTTTTTCAATGTTTTATTGTCAGCTAAATTCTATGTCGGCTATGTGTAGTGTCCCCAAATAGCTCGTACCTAAATACATTTGACACTAAAGTAAATGTTTGTTAACATTTAAAACCTTCTGTCTAAATTTATATTTGTTGAGAAAATAAACGGAAGGAGTACAAGGAATCCAGAAAGCAGATGCAACGAGCACCATAAAGTGACACGTACTCAGGATGCAAACAAGGCTGAGTGAAAAACAAGGTAAGCCATGCTTGTTGTGGTCGCACGGTCTTGGCGCATGTTTATAATCAGTGATAACTTTTTAATACAGCTAGGAGAGCGTTCAATAAGCACTTAAATGGACTCTCTTTCAAAGAGTTCATTCATTTTGCAATGAAAAAATCAAGGAGGCGGTTAAAGACTATCGATGGCAAAGAGTAAAGATAAACAGAAAGCTTGTCAAGCGAGAGAGAGATTTACAAGGGAACAATGCAAATGATAACTGCTGATTGTGTTACTGCGATTCTTCCATAAGATAAATTGGAGTCTCCCGAAGGGCTCAGAAACCACTTTGATTGGTTCGCCGCGCTTGCTGATTCAAAATATTTCAAGCTACTGGTGGCTTTTGCCATCTTCTGCTTCTTCGCCAGAGTGTAGTACCCAACCTAGCCCTGGGAAGAATTCGGTGGCCAAGAAATTTTTCAGTTTCAGGAAAGCGCTTCCCCATTCCTCAAGTGAGAATGGCGCCAGTTATTCTGTGTCAATCAATGACTTTAAGTGCGTCCCTTCTTGCCGCAGGTGACAGTACCCTGTCATTCGATTACTTATCAACCAGGAGGCGATCAGAAAGAGGGTGGCAAAGGGTTTTTGCGTGACGCGTGATGGCCCCAAAATTTGCAGGATGCCGCGTGATTGAACCTAAATTATCCGCGTGACGCGGGATAGGACGTCACAACTTGATGCGTGTTTTCCATTTTACAAGTGCGTGACTCGTGATTTACAAGACTTACTAATTAGATTTCCGTGATAGTAAACGCTCTTTGACCAAGAGGAAACCAATTATTCAATGTAAATAGAGTCTTAACAAAGATCAATAAACCGTTTTCTGGTCTTTTCCGTCCTTTGCTGACCTTCGCCTGACATTTGATGTCTTTGATCTTCCTGGTAGGTCCACACAATCGTAACACAATATGCATAAGTTAATGTAGCTAACATTTGCCAAAGGACTACGATCTTCAGTGTTCTTTTTGTCGACCGCCTGGTTGTCTAGTTTCAACAAGTAAATCATCTTTATTTGCCTAACAAAAAGCAACCTGACAAGTAAAACGCAGTTCATTCCGGGATAAAATCGTTGGATGCAATATAATTTTCAATAATACATCCGATAGGTTGAAATCTTACAGTGTTAGCTTAGTGTACTTACTTCTTTTTATGTGACGCGTGATTGGTTAAAAAAAAATTGCCCGTGATGCGTGATTCGATAGAAAAATTCAGCGTGCTGTGATTGGAACCCCACCTTTGCCACCCTCCAGAAACCTTCCTTGAATTCACTTCCTTCCTCGCCAGAAATAATAAGATCGTAAAAACAGTAATACTATTGCCGAAGCCCTTGCAAAGAATGGCTCAAACATTTTTCCGCTTACTGCAACGCTTGATTAAACAAATGCATCATGGCCTGCTCTACATCTTTCTTTGACAAACTCTAACGCCTCTCTCGACACATATTTGGTGACGAAAAAGCTTTCTGTGTCTTTTTTTCCACCTTCCTCATTTCCATCTCGTTACAGCTGTAGTCAACTTACGCTAATTTCAAGGAAAGCATTCCGAGGGGGAGACACTTTTTCAATTTTCAAAGGGAATTTTTCATCTTGTGAATAGACAACCAGCCACCGTCTTAAGCCTCGTCACTTTAGCACACAAGAAAAGCCCTCAGCTACGCGAGATGGCCCTCTTCTGTTGTTTTTTCAGATGTAGAGTATTTATACTCCCCGTTGCCCATGCATAGTAAATAAGTTGTATCGCCTGTATAATATGCATCACATCTCTTACATTTAAATTTGTTTTCAAGGCGTTGTTGGTTCACTATGGAAGGCTTTTTTTTTCGTAATTTGTGAACATTCTGAGGTGTAATTGTCTATGAGGACCGGTTACTATAGTCGGGTAAAACTTTCAAGCTGAGGGTATGAGGCTCCTTTCGTAGGAAGTCGGCAATTTTCTGGTCTTTGAGGGGTAAGGTAATTCCTACAGTGCTCTTCATCCACGTGCTCAGGGGAGTGAAAGGAGGGGAGGAAGGGGGGAGAAAGGGCTCTCCATAAGCCTGGTACACACCTGGTCCTGGTACTATTAAGAAGCGTGAAATCTATTGAAAGTAATATCACTACATTCTTTTAGATATTTCAATTTTCTAGTACTTCATCTCAAAAGTGATCATTTATACCAATTGTTAACATCGCATAATATAATGTTCAACACTTTTTTGTATTGTAAAAGATAAATGAATTTGCAGCAACAGGATATTCAGAAAATCAGACGATAGGATCTCCGACTTATTTTGATTAGAGATTCATGGGATTGTTTAGGTGTGCGGGTGTCTCCTTAAAAGAGAATGGGATATTTGTACGCAAAAATTTTCCAGCCTTTAAACTGATAAAGCGGATGTTTTGTGGTATTTCAAGGCATGATGTTGTTATGGCAACCTATTGTCATGAAAATGATCACGATTTATTGAGCCGGAAATAATTGGGCATGTTTACATTGTATGGAAGAAACAATACAAACTATTTTGAAAAATTTCCCAAAATTTCCTCACTCCTTACTCTGGACTTCGCCTCCTTCCTCACTTTGCTCAATCTAAAAAGTTGTGTCACCAAGCTCATTTCTAAGGCTGTTAAAAACAAAAAGAAAGAATGTTTCTGGCAAATGATATAAGCAGTAACCCTTGTTGACGAGAATTACATTTATGCTCTTGTCAAAGTCAACAGAGCGTTGAGAGCAAAGAATGTTATGAGCTGTCTGAAATTTTAAATTTCGAAGATATTTACTTACTTAGAATTATAGTACCAACCATTATCAACATTCTTGGATCCGCAAAAAATCTGAATTGAATGGAAATATCACCCCTGATCTCTTCTTCTTTGTAAAGAATTCATTAGGGGTGGAGGTGGGAGGAGATGTGAATTCTGTGACAAAACACACACAGAACAGATGAGCTGAGGGTACTTTAGTCCATTTAAGAATATTGAACGTATCTGATAGTACTGTTCTTGGGATCAACTTTTATCAATGAAAGTGAAAGGTATTTACTCACTCAAAATTAGAAAGAAACCAGACTTTAGTATCATGTTCAATGCACAGCTTTATTGTAGATTTCACTCTTAAAGCGGCTGATAAACACTCATTTATCAAAGATATCAATTTTGACTATCCCTAAATCTGAACCGTTTTCTTCGATTTTTGAGCAAATACTATCACTATACCAATGCATAAAGCAGCGAAGACTCTTGGTCATTACGCTTTTCGTCTTGTGTCCCTATTTCTACATCCACTTGTATAAAGCGCTGTTTATGTTGTTCTTCTGATTGT